GGTCCCGCCCGCCTCCGCTGCGGGGGACGGAGCGGTGGCCCCGGCCCCGGGCAGGGTCCGGCCGAGCGCCTTTCCCGCCCCCGGGGGAGGTCCCGGCTGAGGTGCCGAACGCCGCCGATGGGCCTGGCCGGCAGAGGTGCCACCCCGCAGCAAGCCCGGCGCCCCGAGCTGCTCCCTTCTAGCCCAGGGCGTCCAGGACTCACAGTGGAGCTGCCTCAGGACTTGGTGGGATGTCTAATGGTGCATCCCTTGCCCTCTTTCCTTGGGCAAACCCATTACGTAAAGCGGGATGGTGTGCCACACCTTGGCAGTTTAAAATGCCAAGGGGACTGAGGAGGCTGCACTCAACGTTTGAAACTGACCGTCACTCACAGCCCGGGGCTCGCCTTCCTCAGTCGCTTCGGCAGGACTTTGAGAAAAATGTGACCATCTGCAAAAACCAGAGGCTCCGTTCTCCGGCTGCAAACCGGGCTCGGTGATTTGTGGCACCTCTGTTTCTCTGTGTAGTAATCTGCTCTTAATGTAGACGTTCTTATCCTGTGGTTTATAGGCTGCCTGCCACGTTAGGGCTCCAATTTTGGTTGGTTAGTGTAATATAAATAATTAAAAATGCTATTTTAAAAAAGTAGGTAGCACAAAGGTACTATGTAAAGTAAAAGTTAGACAGTTAAAATATGTGCCTAACAGTGTACTAGCTCATGCCATTTAATTCAGGGCTTTTTGTTTAAAAAAAACCCAAAACCACTCTGCTTAAAGGCCCTAAATTGTCAGGACTTCCAAAATCTTTTGTTTTGATCAACTTCAATGAGAATAAAAGACCAGGGAAGGAATGTTGGGGCTCACTAACTCTGAAGGCAGTGATAATAACAGTTGGTCTGAATTTTGAAGGATGGCTCTCTTACTCATTCCTGCAGAGTCAAGAGTTTTCTGTTACCAATTTGTTACCAAAAACCAGTTTTCTGTTTGCCAATTAGTCCTATTCACGTTTTGGGTTGTGCTCGTGTTCTTCAATGGCTGTAACTTTGGTTTTAGCTCAAGCCTGCTGTTATCTGTAATCCCTTCATAAACGTTCTCCAGAACTTTCATGTTTCTGGATGCCTGGAATTGATAAGACATATTTTGTTTGCAAATCAATTCTGTTTTGGTGTGATCTCACTAGCTCACCCTGGCTAAAACAGGGAAAAAGTTTTAGTTAGCAGTTGCAGGGGAATTTTGAAAACGAACCCTGTTCATACATATGCAGGTGCTTGTAGTTAGACAGCCTTGGCATCTTTGGATGTCTGGTAAACCACCACATCACTTGTGAACGAGGAGGTACCATCTGGTCCATCTGCATCTCAAAAAGAAGTCTTTAATTAACATCATATGCTGTTTAGGGAAGGTGTGGTCTTACCATTATCAAGGTTGAAGCAGATCCGAGCTTCTTCCAAGTAAGGGGTGTCACTCTTAGACCGGAGTCTTCTGATGGGTCTCCGGTCTATGTCATCCTCAGAGGTTGCTGTCACCAGAGTGGGCACAGTGAGAAGAGTTGCCCGGCGAGCTGGTAAGAAGAAATAAATTAAGATGAAAATAGGTGAAGAACAGAGAAAAAGAAAGGGGGAGAAAGAGGTAGAAAAAGAATAATAAGAGACTAGAAAAGATAAGAGAAGGAAAATCACTCAATGGAAGAGATGATCTATAACAGGTAGTAGAACAGGCTGTTTGTTATAAGGTCCTTGCCTTATATTCTACATGCTGCAGAATTTAAGAGCTGCACTGAATGATACCAAGAAAAGATTGCTGTCTTGTGTGCAAGACACAGGGTATAGCTCTGTTGTTGCCACAGATTGCATGTTCTAAGTTCCTAGTTTTGCCACTAAAACAATTCTTTTCTCAACTTCTCAACAGCTGCAGTCTCTCTTTTCTTGTATGCTGTTTTTGAGGCTGTGATACCCGAATGGTGGAAATGTTGAAGTGGTCGATTAATTTGCAGATATCAGTGGAAGCTGTACTTGGAACACATAATGTTGACAAGATGCAACTATTCCAAAATTCAGTTTCTTGTTGTCTTGCCTTGGACATTTAAAATTAACAGCTAACTTTTGCTCTTGATCACTTTATGTCTTAATTGTTGTGGAACAGGGAGAAACATAATTTTAATTCTGTAGGAATTTTGTGAACATATAAATTCATTAATATTGTAAAGTATTCGTATACTTTAGTGAAGCACCAGTGAAAAATCCACGAGGAAATTAAGATTTCTATCTTCTAAACAGGATTTAAATGGCTTGGGGCCATGCATTCAAGGAGGAGAAAGCAAAATATTTAATACTGGCTCATTAAGTGAGCACTGCCCACTCCATGCACTGATGAAGCAAATGATAGGATAGTAAAAAATTTCTGTCATCATGCAATTAGAAGCCCTACTATAATCCATGTGTATAAGGAGACTGAATTAGTGTTGAAGAGGCAAGGTTTATTTGGGCATTGCCTAAGTATTTAGCTCTGGACCTTATAGCCTTGATAATGTCCCTTAAATGTAGATGTTTTATATGTGAAATGGAATTATGAGTGGCTGTTGAATGCTTTGGGCATTAAGCCTATAAATTACAAATCACAAAGAGAAGAGCCTCTATAAATATATCCACCTAAACTCTCTCTCTGAGTAGATAAAAGATTATCACAAATGCTAGTTGGGATCTGGCTGATCATGAAAGCATGAGGACTATGCACAAGTACTTTCTCCTCCACCTCATATATAATTTGAAAGAGAGTTTCTGCTTGAAAGCCTGTCCTTACCTGTAATGTGGGTCTATTAACATTAACTACCATGTGGAACCCTGTAAGAGCCTAGGAGGCTGAACTCTAAATGCTTCTTGCTGTTGGGACATTATCTTGCATGAGAGTCTTTATCTCAGGGCTTTTGTAAAGTATCACACTTCAAATAACTAACAATGAACTATATTTTCCCATTGGGACTGGAGAGCATGACTGAGAGTGACTAAGAGCTTATTCTGCAACTTACTAACTGTGATTCTTTCTTTTAAAAGTTCTTTAGAGTTTCAAATGAGACCTGTCAATCAGTAGCTTTCAGATGCCTAAAATCTGACTAAGGTGTTAGGTATGATAGCATATAATTAGTATAAGTTAAAAAAGCTGTCATGCTCTATTTTTCAATTTGCAGTATTCTGTAGTTAACTAAACAAGTAAATCTGTGCTGCTGGAGGTAGAGGTTATTTCTGGTCTAATTTACTTATTTTCTGTTTTTAAATAGATTTCTTTCAAGTTTTTGCTCATTTCTAACCTAGCATTTGAATTTGAAGTAAAAGCAAAGGGCAGGAGTTGAAATTGATTTAATGGGGTCAACTATTTAGATTAAGCTAAAGTAAACACTGCAACTAGGCTGTAAACCCTTCCTCCCTTGTAATAGGGAAGTACAATAATGAAGATAAAAGAGAATGGAAAATTTCTGCTATGGAAAATTTTATGCATTGCATCTTCGAAATTTACACTTAAGGAAGATTTATCTATGTAGGAAGTCAGCGTTGTAAAAATTGTCTCATAAAACAACCATGTAAAAGATTTGTCTTTTAAAACTGGCATTATTTAGCTGTAGTTAGAGTCAGTGAAAGGGCACCCATGCATTTCAGGGCTAGCTGGATCACAGCACAGAAGTATATCTGAAAGAAAATCCCAACACCAAACTACATATACATTTATAGTAAACAGGGAATAAGAGTAGGCTTTTTAATATAATTGTTTATAAATCATTTTTACCTTTTGGGTCAAAATATTGGGATCTGGCTTGTATTCATTTTGACTGCAGGTAGGTGGATGCTAGAAAATGTTTCTTGGAGTAATCATTATGTATTACTTTGACAACCATCATTATCTACCCTTTGTGTATATTACCAAAGGAGTTTTCAAGAATGACTGGAAATTTTAAGTAAACATTGAAAATATTTCAGAGTAGGCTAATAAGTATTAAAACATTTTGTAATAAAAACCTAAGATCAATTCTTACACGGCCCCAGAACTGGAAAGTATAGCTGATCACATTCTGGTATCTACAGAGTGACGCTGAATGTTTATACCTGCCATGAATGTAACTGTACACACTCTTTTCCTAATCCACAGCAATCTTTTTTTTTTTCCAAGAATGACTCGCCATACATTTTTTAGTAAAGCTGTCAGTATATGCCCAGTGTGATTCTTGGGCCCATTGCAGATAACCCACCAGTATCTCTAGCTTCAGCTGCCCTCCACAAACCAGCTCAGTCTCTGGGACACACTTTTAGGAGATAGTTTTTCAGGAAAATTAGGAAGTATCCTCTTGAAGGTCTTGGAGCAATGGACTGACACTACAATACACATTAAGGGACCCGCTTACTCTGCAAATGGATTTGAGACCGGTGTTGAGAAGCTCAATTTAAGGAGCCACTGTAACAGCATGTGGAAGGGACCTCAGTCATTTTGTTAAATTCTTTCATTCTGTTTTCATCGTTCCTCATACACTCCAATTGGCATATTGTGGCAATGTCTTGTCTGGTATTTGTTAGGAAGGGAAAAAGTTTCTTAGGAAGGGAAAAATACCTTAAAACTATAAATGCTGTAACGTACATCATGTGACATGTTAGAACTGATTATATATAATCTCACATTTATTTGTCTCAAAATATTGTATGTTCTGAAGTGCAACACAAGCATGTCTTTGGGAGAAGGGAAAATAAAATATGTAAATTTTTATATTACAAGTTCAGAGGCATTTTTAACATATAATTTCAATATATTTAGTTAGATCTACAGCTGGTCCCAATTTTTGAATACTGCTTAAAATTACTGAAAACATGAAGGGTGGTTTGCAAAGAATTTTTGATGCTTTCCATTTTTTCCATTAAAATACCTTTGCACATATTTTAATAAAAATGTTAATAGTAATTTCTATTTGCCAAGAACTACCTTTATGTTTTGAAGAGTTATAGTATTGATTTTTTTTAAGACTTGTGTTATTTAGAAAAAAATTTAATTGGAAAAATATCAGAGGTGAAATGGCATCTTTGTAAAAATTAATTGGAGGAAACATGGGATATTCATTTAGATTTTCCCATCCACTTTTACCAGTCAGCCTTTATTAAAACAGCTCATTGTTGACACAAGTACCCTGGTCATTTCTGACTCAATAGGGCCTTCACCTAGAAACCCTAATTTGCAGAGTAGATTTTGACCTCAAAGTGGCAAATCTTTGAAATATGATTTTTATCTTAGTACAAGTGAAGTGCTAAAACATTTATTGTAGATGTCTAGATGTAGAAAAGGTGTGTTTCTGATGAACAGAGTCATAAGCAGCTTCAAATAACACTGAAATAGCCACAAGGGGGATGCTGGTTTACATCAGAAATCTTAAAGTCTTTTCGGAGGAAAATCTTGTTTCTCAGGGCAAATTTTGAACAACTTTGTAAAATACCTATGTAAATATTTTAATTTCAGTCCTGCTCTTGCTGATTGAATAGGATTCTTCTTCCTTGCTGCTTTTTTTTGCTAGACAAACATCTTACTTTGCTAGAGAAAGATCTTACTCAGTTCTCCTTCATGCTTCTGTGGAGAGGGCTCACCATGATGTAACATATCTGCATGTAGATAATGCATGCAGGAATGTATTTTTAGCTAAATGGAAGTTTTAAAAATATGAATTCGGGTACATTTTGATTCATCTAGCATATGATACTCCTCTTGCGCTAAAGAAACCTTATTAGGCTGTGAATATTCTTCCTTAAAGACAAACCAGGCAGTGGGTTCAACTGAATGTTTACAGGAAAAAAGATCTTTTGGTCTGGTTTAATTCTTCTTCACTTTATCAGTTGCATTTAAAAGAAGATGGAAGGACAACATTTGAAGGATTAGATTTGGGAAATGGAGTATGAGTGGCAGGAGAGGCAGAGGGTGGAACATGTGGAGAGGACATAATTTGTCATTTATGAAGAAAGATTTATAGGCTTGTGTCTCCCACATAAAAACACAGAAGCACTTGCATATGGATTGCTCCGTGTCTCTCTCTAAAGCAAAGCTGTTGAAATCTGTCTTGATGGACATCAGTAATCTGAAACAAAGTACATAGATACATTGTATTCAACCACAGGCCCAAGGGTCGAAAACAACAGTACCCATGAGAAAAGATATCCATGTTTACGCACACTTTTTTCCTGCGGGTTTGTGGTATTTGGTGAAAGTATGCACAGTACGCCTAACTAGCATTTTTTGTACGTTTTAGGTGAAACTTGCTTGTTTCTCTGTGTCCAAAGGCATAGGCTGTTCTGAAATTCTCAATAATGGGGATATGCCAGAATAGGAGGTGGGGAAAGGGTTCAAAAAGTTTGAAAAGGATGACGAAAAGGTTAATGTTGATCAGTTTCTTGATGGTATTTGAAAGTAGGGATATTTTATTAAGAGTGCACATTTGATGTCACTAATTCTTCTTCTATTGATGTCAGTCTAAGAACTAGTTATATCACATGAGTAAAAAAGACCTGGAAGCTATCATAACTTAGAAAATATGTTAACATA